TCTGAAGCAAAGCCTTTGCTCACACGGGGACGTGGCCCCTCTGTACCAGGTTTTCCTAAGACAAGTCAGGGCTTGGCCGGGAGCCACAGCTGAGGTGCCACAGCCCACATGTGCACCAATGCCCTCGACCAGGGGTGCAGACAAGCTGGGAGAGAGACTGTGCTTTTTGACATGCATTGAGTAACGTCCAAGGTGTGGTGGGACAAGTCACATAGCCTGGAGTTCTGCAACAGATGGGTGCCAGCTTTTCACAGAATCCCGGAATCAGTGTATGGTGGGGTTGGAAGGGCCCTCTGGGTATCATCTAGTCCAACCCCCCTGCTAAAGCAGGTTCACCCACAGCAGGATACACTGGCCTGCGTCCAAGTGGGTTTTGAATATCTCCAGAGAAGGAGATTCCACAACCTCCCTGGGTAACCTGTTCCAGTGCTCTGTCACCCTCAGAGTGAAAGTTTTTCCTTATGTTGAGACTGAACTCCCTGTGCTCCAGTATATGCCTGTTGCCCCTTCTCTACACCATCAAAAAAAGCCTGGCCTCATCCTCTGAACTCCCACCCTATAGATATTTATAAACGTTGATAAGATCTCCTCTCAGTCTTCTCAAGGTGAAAGAGCCCCAGGTCTCTCAGTCTTTCCTCAAAAGAGAGATGCTGCAGTCCCCTCATTGTAGCAACCCTCCACTGGACTCTCGCCAGTAGTTCCCTGTCACTCTTGAACTGCTGGGCACAGGACTGGACACAGCACAGCAGATGTGGCCTCCCCAAGGCAGAGCAGAGGGGGAGGACAACCTCCCTCCACCTGCTGGCCACGCTCTTCTTCATGCATCCCAGAATATCACTGGCCTTTTTGGCCACAAGGGCACATGGCTGGCTCATGGTTAACTTGTTGTCCACAACAACTCCCAGGTCCTTCTCTGCAGAGCTGCTCTCCAGAAGGTTGACCCCCAGCCTGGACTGGTGCAAGGTGTTATTAGTTGCTCTTTTCTCTTGTCCAGGGATGTCCCTGTCCCCAGAGAGCCTTTCCACAGAGAACTGTGTCCCTGCTGGCCCTGATGGCAACTCCTGCTCGCTCCACATGCCCACCACATGGCCCCAAGCTGGTGGTGCTGCTCTGCAGGGTGAGGGTTTCAGGGGTCCAAAATCCATGGGAAGACAATCCCAGGCAGATCCCTGTGGATCACGGAACTTCTTCAGGGTCACTGGGCAATCACAGGTGAAGTCTCAGCACAGGCTCATTCCTAACACCTCACCCCGTACACTCCTCCTCTGAGCCCATACACAACCCAAGCACGGCAGCACGGCCTCATGGTGGGTATTTCTTCAGCCTGTTCTTAATTGCAGCTTTGGAAGAAGACCTCCAACCTCAAGACACGAGCGCTGAGGAAATGCCCTTTTATTACAGAGATACAGCACAGCAGACCAGCTGTACCATCGTGTCAGACACACGTCCAAAGGCCTCTGGGTCAGACAGACTGGGTTCCTGCCTTTGGAGAAGTGGAGTGGCTTCAGACATTCCTGGGCAAAGAGAGTTCTCCTGGGTGAAATGCCCAAAGCACAGGAGGTTGCTGAGGTAATGGGGAATCACTTGTGAAGAACCATTGGCAACTTATTGCTGCCGACAGACAAGTGATTGAAGCAGCTTCTTCAGTGTGTCCTTGATCTCCTGGTTCCTCATGCTGTAGATGAGGGGGTTCACTGCTGGAGGAACCTCTAAGTACAGAAAAGACACCACAACATCAAGGGATGGGGAGGAGATGGAGGGGGGCTTCAGGTAGGGAAACACACCAGTGCTGATAAACAAGGAGACCAAGGCCAGGTGAGGGAGGCAGGTGGAAACGATTTTGTGCAGTCCCTGCTCAGAGGGGATCCTCAGCACGGCCCTGAAGATCTGTACTTAGGACACCACAATGAACACAAAACAAACAAACGCTAAATAGACAGTGACCACAAGAACTGCAACTTCCCTGAGGTAAGCATCTGAGTAGGAGAGCTTGAGGATCTGGGGGATTTCACAGAAGAACTGGTCCACAGCATTGCCCTGGCAGAGGGGCAGTGAAAATGTATTTCCCGTGTGCAGCACAGCAGTGAGAAACCCACTGCCCCAGGCAGCTGCTGCCATGTGGACACAAGCTCTGCTGCCCAGGAGGGTCCTGTAGTGTAGTGGTTTGCAGATGGCAACGTAGCGGTCGTAGGCCATGACTGTGAGAAGAAAATACTCTGCTGTCATCAAGAAGGCAAACAGAAAGAGCTGGGTAACACATCCTGAGTAGGAGATGGCCCTGGTGTCCCACAGGGCTTTGGCTTTGCAGAGAGCGGCGGAGACCAGGCCAAGCCAAGGAGGGAGAGGTTGAGGATGAAGAAGTACATGGGGGTGCGCAGGTGCTGGTCACAGGCTACAGCAGTGATGATGAGTCCGTTGCCCAGGAAAGCAGCCAGGTAGACGCCCAGGAAGAGCCGAAAGGTCAAGAGCTGCAGCTCCCGTGTGTCTGCAAATGGCAGGAGGAGCAACTGGGTGATGGAGCTGCTGTTGGACATTTGCTGCTGTCAGGTGTGGGGGACTCTTCAAGGATGGAAACACAATAAGTTAGCAGAGACTTTCCAAAACACGAAAGCCAGTTCTCACACGCCCTCCCACTGTTACACACACACACACATTTCTAGAAGCTTTTCCTTCAGCTCTGTGGCTGGAGCTCTCGTTGGTGTGTCATGAGGAGCAGGACCTGTGCCTGCTGGCAGCCAAGGAGTTATCCTGCTCTGCAGCAGGGGGTTCACGGGAGAGGAGGGGGCAGAGACCAGTCCTGGGGTTCGACTTTGTCAGCTGAAAGCACTCCTAATACAAAAGGGCTGGTCAGCATCTGCACTCCCCATGCCAAGGAACCAGGAGGGCAGAAGGCAGTCAGAGAGGTTTGGGGGGGTTTTACAGCTCCCCCATTTCCCCTGGGTAGTTTTCCTGGATGCCAGAAACCCTCAGCACTTCTGCTGCACTGGAAGGCATTGCAAAGCCGTGTGAGGCAGGAGGATTGCCTGTGGTTTATTGCGGAGTGAGGGGAGCTGGTCTGCCCCTCCGCCTTGTTCCCAGCTGCCCTGGGCT